CAGTAATCTCCCTAGGTTCTAGTCATGAGTTGCCAAGGCTATGGAAGCCTGTTGAGTTCGCCGACTTCGATCTATTCAGACAGGGTCATAGTCAAAGTGGAAGTTCTCTCCTTCCTTCAGAGAAAGGTACCTCCTTCTTTGATGGCCCCATTCTTTCCACTGGGATCTCACTTGCAGAGATCTTTCATTTAGGTCTTCTCTTTTTTTTTTTTTCCCCCCCCAGAGTGTCTTGGCTTTCCATGCCTAAAATACTCTCATGGGCTCTTCAGCCAGATCTGAATGCCTTAAGGGCTGATTCTGAGGCCAGAGTGCTACTTAGGACATCTGCCATTCTATGAGTCTGCTGTGTATCCTGTTTCCCACATTGGATTATTCTCTCCCTTTTTGATTCTATCAGCTAGTATTAGCAGACACTAGACTTGTTTGTGTGATCACTTTGACTCTTAGACCTAACAGTGTGATCAATTGTGTACTGAAATTGATCACTTGGAGTAGTGAGATGGCATTGGTACATGCCACCTTGATGGGATTATATTGGGAATCCCCTGGCATGATTCTAACTCCACCATTTGGGGCAAGTCCGATTGAGCATGTCCCAAATTATACATCTCCTCCCTTTCTTATTCCCACTGTTATATTTAACAGGGATCACTTTTCAGTTAAAATTTAAACACCTAAGAATAATTGTGTGTTAATTACAGAGTTCAACCAATAGTACTAGAACAAAAAATATACCCAAGGGGATAAAGTATTACATTGTACATCAACAGTCAGCCTTTCAAATAGTTTTTTTTAATTTCAAATGAAACCGTAAGCTAGTGATTAACTTATTTTTAAAGACTGGAATCATATATTTGAGTTCCTGAAGGAATAAAATGCTTATCAAGAATTGTATATCCAGTGAAACTATCCTCTAAAAATGAGACAGAAGATTCCAAGATGACAGATTAGGGAACAACATACTGTGCTAGGCTAGGAATAAATAGTCAAAAAAAAAAATAGGAAATACACTCTCAGAGGAGAATTTGAGCTAAAACTGCACTGGAAATCCTATAAGAAGAAGAGGAACACCATGGACCAGTGAGGAGGGTGCAGGCACGCAGCATGGACACAAACACAAGCAATATTGCAGCAGCCAAGAGCCAGAGCGGGTGGCAGCTTGGAGATTGAGTTGAAACTAGACTGTAGCAAACCATGGTGATACAGCTGGAGGGAGAGCATGGCATGAGTCTGGACTAGGGACCTGGGGGTTAGTGGTTGCCCACAGACCCAGTGGAAGTAGAGGGAGCATGTTTCTCCAAAACAGTACTCACTGCCTGGCTGAGAATGAAAAGGTGCCATTTTAGGTTTGGGCAAGAGCTGCGGAAGATTGTGCGCACACAGCAACTGGCTGAGATAGAACAACATCTTCTCGACAGTACTGGAGACAATGGCAACAAGAGAGCAACAAGCCAGTGGCTCTTGTGAACATGTATGATCCACAGATTCTAGTGGAGGGAACTATCTGCAGACCCCACTGACTTTGAGCCTGGCTGGGAGATGGCTGGGCAACCACTTAGGACGGTGAAGTGTCCATAGCCTCCCAGAATCAAGAAGCCTAGGCAAAGCTGTCTCAGGGAACATCTGCCTCTCTGTTGACTGGATAGGCTGGCAGGATAGAGAGAAACTTCTGCATCTGTAGGAGCCTTATGTGCTGAGACTGGGGACTTTTTGGTTGCATAAGAAGGTACAGGATGGGGCTAGCACTGTGGTGCAGCAGGTTAAAGCCCTGGCCTGCAGTGTCAGCATCCCATATGGGTGCTGGTTCTAGTCCCAGCTGCTCCTCTTCTGATCCAGCTCTCTGCTATGGCCTGGGAAAGAAGTAGAAGATGGCCCAAGTCCTTGGGCCCCTGCATCCACGTGGCAGACCCGGAGGAAGCTCCTGGCTCCTGGCTTCAGATCGGCACAGCTCCAGCTGTTGCGACCATCTGGGGAGTAAACCAGCTGATGGAAGACCTCTCTCTCTGTCTCTACCTCTCTCTGTAACTCTGTCTTTCAAATAAATAAAATAAATCTTTAAAAAAAAAAAGAAAGAAGTTACAGGGTATAGCTGGGTCTCTGGGCAATCACTGGGTGTAGCTCCACATGTTTGGAGCTTCTTGGTTGCCTACAGCAGGTCATTGCAGCGGGAACTGTGATCACAGTGAGAACTGCACAGATCATTTGTGTGGTCCAGGCAGTTAAAAGATATAGACTGGCTGCATGGATTAAAAAACAAGAACCATCTTTTTGCTGCCTACAGGAAACACATCTCACCAACAAAAGTACATGCAGACTGAAAGTGAAAGAATGGAAAAAGATATTCTATGCTAACAGAAGCAAAAAAAAAAAAAAAAAGGCAAGTGTTGCCATCCTAATATCAGAAAAAATGGACTTTACCATGTAAAAACTATCAAAAGGGATTAAGAATAGCACTATGTAATGATTACAGGATCAATTCATCAGGAAGATGTGATTATAATAAATGTATATGCACCCAATCACAGGGTGCCTGGCTATTTAAAAGAAATGTTAATGGAATCTAAAGGGAAATATAGACTCCATTACAGTAGTCACAGGGGACTTCCACAACCACTTTAATCAATGGACAGATCAACTAGAAAGAAAATCTACAAGGAAACAACAGAGCTAATCTACACCATAGACCAAATGGACCTAACTGATATCTACAGAACTTTTCACCCTACAATTGCAGAACACACATTCTTCTCATCAGCCTGGAACTTCTCTAGGATAAACCGTATGCTAGTGCATAAACCCAGTCTCAGCAAATTCAAAAAAATCAAAATCATTCCATGTATCTTCCCTGACCACAATGGCATGAAGCTGGAAATCAACAACTGAAGAATCTCTAGATCATACGCAAGCACATGGAGCTTGAGCAACATGTTCATAGAAGAAATCAAAAAATTTCTGGAGACAAATGAAGACGACAGTATATCATGTCAAACCTTATGGGATACAGCAAAAGCAGTGCTAAAAGGGAAATTTATAGCAATTGACACCTACATGAAAAAATAACAAAGAAATAACAAAGATACCATGTAAATGAGCCATCAGTGCATCTCAAGGACCTAGAAAAACAACAAAAAACAACCACAAGCCAAACCTAAAATTAGTAGGAGGAAAGAACTAATTAAATTAGAGAAGAAATAAACAAAATTGAAACCAACAAAATATATATAAAAGTTCAGTAAGGGGCCAGCATGTGGCACAGCAGGTTAAATCCCTGGCCTAAAGCGCCAGCATCCCATATGGACGCTGGTTCTAATCCCCACTCCTCCCCTTCCAATCCAGCTCTCTGCTATGGCCTGGGATAGGAGTAGAAGATGGCCCAAGTCGTTGGGCCCCTGGACCCACATGGTAGACCTGGAGGAATCTCCTGGCTCCTGGCTTCAGATCGGCACAGCTCTGACCGTTGCAGCCATCTGGGGAGTGAACCAGTAGATGGAAGACCTCTCTCTCTCTCTCTCTACCACTCTCTGTAACTCTATCAAATAAATAAAATAAATCTTTAAAAAGAAAAATGATCAATGAAATTAAGAGTAAGAGCTTTTTAAAAAAGAAAAAGAAAAAAATTGATATACCATTTGCACAACTAAGCAAAGAAACAGGGAGAAGACCCAAATCAATATCATCAGAGATGAAAAAGGAAATGTAACAGCAGATAACACAGAAATAAAAAGAATCATCGGGAATTACTACAAAGAGCTGTATACCAACAAATTGGGAAACCTAGAAGAAATGGATAGATTCCTGGACACATACAATCTACGAAAATTGAGTCACAGAGACATATAAAACTTAAACAGACCAATAACCAAGACAGGAATTGAATAAGTAATAAAGAACCTCCCAAAAAAGAAAAACCCTGGATCGGTTGGCTTCACTGCTGAATTCTACAAGACATTTAAAGAAGAACTAATTCCAATTCTTTTCAAGCTATTCAAAACAATTGAAAGAGAGGAAATCCTCCCAAACTCCATCTGTGAAGCCAGCATCACCTTAATTCCTAAACCTGAAAAAGATACGACAGAGAAAGAGAACTTTAGACCAATATCCCTGATGAACATAAATGCAAAAATCCTCAACAAAATATTAACTAATCAAATCCAGCAATACATCAGAAAGATCATTCACCCAGACCAAGTGGGATGTATCCCTGGTATGCAGGGATGGTTCAACATTCACAAATCTGTCAATGTGATACATCATATTAACAAACTGAAGATAAACAACCATATGATTACCTCAATGGATGCAGAGAAACCATTTGATAAAATACACCATCCTTTCATGATGAAAACCTTAAGCACATTGGGATTCAAATGAACATTTCTCGACACAATCAAGGTAGTTTATGACAAACCCCTGGCCAGCATACTACTGAATGGGGAAAAGCTGGAAGCATTCCCCCTTGAAAACAATTTAAAAAGATAGATATCTGTATAGATATACCTTATAGCAATAAAGGAAATCAAGTGGGATCATAAAATTATTGATTCAGCATAAAAGCTGAAAGGAATGAACAATACTTTTTTTAAAAAAGATGATATCAATAAAATCTATTAATATGTTTCAGAGAAACACTATGGGAAGGAAGAAAGTTGTGATTACCTTTGTGGTTAATCCAAAAGAATACTATTTTCATAGAAATTCTTGCCGTGATTCGTTAGATTTGTGTGTTAGAAACAATTTCAGATATTGAAAGAAATCTGTATACTGTAGCTCTTTTATTGTTTGTCTAATACACTGTTGATGGTGAAGCTCTTTCCCCCATTTTAGTTTTCCCCCCTTTTAAGCACATGATTTGTTTCCAAAGTCATATTGTTCTTTAAACCTCATAATAGAATCCTAGCAGCATAGCAACTGTATAATATAAATTGTTTTCTTCATGCTGTATAACAGTGTACTGAATTTTTACATAGTTGAAGTAAGCTTCCATTTTCTTTATTTTCTAGGAGGAAGATATGATGTCTGCTCAAGGAAGAGAGGAAGCATCAGATAGGCGCTTACAGCAGTTACAATCTAGTATAAAACAATTAGAAACAAGGTAAATTGTCAAATGTATCTGTCTGTATGCCAGCACAGTGTTTCTGTCTGATATTTATTATAGTATGTATTTATAATTTATATATCAAAACTATCTTCATAGGTTTAAAATATGATTCATTGGACATTATTTTATGTCTTTTAAAAGATTTATTTATTTATTTGAAAGTCAGAGTTACAGAGGGGCAGAGGCAGAGACAGAGAGAGAGGTCTTCCATCTGCTGGCTCACTCCCCAAATGGCTTCAATGGCCGGAGCTGAGCTGATCTGAAGCCAGGAGCCAGGAGCTTCTTCTGGCCTCCTGTGTGGGTGCAGGGACTCAAGCACTTGGGCCATCTTATGCTGCTTTCCCAGGCCATAGCAGAGAGCTGAATTGAAAGCGGAGCAGCCAGATCTCAAACCAGCACCCATATGGGATGCCAGCACTGCAGTTAGTGGCTTTACCCACTGTGCCACAGCACTGGCCCCCACTGGACATTACTTCAAAATCATGTTCAACAGATTACTATATTTTGGACATTTATTTAAAGATCACATTTTAAGTAAGAGTCTAGAACCTTTCTAAGTTACCAAAGTATTATTTTTACAACTTACTTAGTTCAGTACTTTTTTGAAAAGAAAAAAAACCTCTTGATAATCATGGCTTTTGTGTTAGTCCTCCATATAAGGCACACTTTCACTTTCATTTCTCCTGAAGTCACCTTGCAGATATTGGAGTGAAACTAATTGATCTCCAGATACTACCTAAAATCTTTCCTTCTTCTAGTATTCTAATCACTAAAATGTTCCTCATGCATCTCAAATGTCAGTACCATCATACTTGGTAACCATTGAGTAGAAAACACTGAGTCCCAAAATGGTTCCTTCAATGCTCTTTTTTTCTCAATCTCTTTATATAAGCTAAGTGAATTGATTAAAAAGTAGAATGTACAACTAGATAGGATTTTCTACACATTATCAAGAGAAAAGACTTTAAGACTCCCTCTTGAGAGAGAGTCCCATATTCACAGGTGAAGTATCACTTATATAGCATTGATTGAGCACCCACTATGTACAATGTTTTAGGTGCCAGGGCTCTAGCAGTGGCTGTATCTGGTGATAGTGAATGACAGAGAAAAATCCTTAATCTAAATTATACTTATTTAGTTTAAATAATGCAAAGGATTTCCTGGAGTATAAACATTGAATTGACATTGTTGTCTTACATTTTTATCTTGGGAAAAATTCACTAGTTGATACTTCAAAGTAAAATAGAGTTTTTAAAAGATAAGTAAAAATTCAGAATGAGGTGTGATTGATAGACATCATCTACTTGTATCAACACTCCCACTGCCTTTTGACTTTCATTGTTCGTAAGCTTAGGAAAAAAGAATTATTTGACAATATAATTGGCTCCTGGCTGGCTGCCACTATGATTGTCAACCTGAGTTGATGCTTGAGATTGCACCCTTAGTTACTAAATGTACTCAGACTTGCACATCATCTAGTACTTATTTAAAAATCCAGATTGCTTTTTTCTTCTTTCTTCAGTAAATACTCATTTTCTAGATTGAAGTTATTTTAGAATCTAGGTTTCCATTGTGTGATAGAGAAGAGACAGAGAGAGTTAGAGAGAGAGCAAGAGCACAAGCAAGAACATATTTGAAAAGGGAGTAATGTGTAGATTATTAAAAAATATAATTTGGGGCCAGTGATATGGCATACTAGGTTAAGCTTCTGCCTTCAGTGCCAGCATTCCATATGGGCACCAGTTCTAGTCCCTACTGTTCCTCCTCTAACCAGTGGAAGATAGCCCAGTGCTTGGGCCCCTGGGCACATGAGGGAGACCAAGAGGAAGCTCCTGACTCTTGACTCCTGGCTCCCATCTGGCCCAGCTCCACTCTTTGGGGAGTGAACCAGAGGATGGAGGACATTTCTCTCTGTCTCTCCTTCTCTCTGTCTGTAACTCTGCCTCTCAAATAAATAAATCTTATGCATAATTTAATTAAAATTTTACTTCCTTCCAAGGTTTATTTGTGTGGTATAAGGATTATTTATATTGTTAAAGTAGAATCTACCAGATGGTTTAGGAGGTAACAGTTGATTCATGCTATTGCAGTCAAGCTAATGTTCATTAATGAGGATATTTCAAAGAAAAGGAAGGGGCCTGAGTTTTTTTATAGGCAGACAAATATATGAAATGTGCATGAGTCAAGGGAGTCTTGAGGAGGGATGGAGATGGGTCTTATCCAGGAATATACCAGGGTAAGGTTGTCCTTTGATATTATCCTGGAAGACAAGTGGATAGGAGGGTTTGGAGAACTGATGGTTGGATTTCTTAGCCATCCTATTTTCCTGGAATCACTGGACTCGGGTAAAGTTTAGTACAAGGGTATGTAATAAGGTGTGTAGGAAAATTGAAGTAAGAAATAAGTATAGTTTGGCACAAAACTTTTTTGAAATCCATGCATTTTTACAATAAGCATTTTTTGAACAATTTTTAGGACCCTTCTATGCATTATGAAAATAAAATTATTATTTAATTCTATTTTATATGTGCTTTGTAATATCCTCCTCTTATCAGTATAAAGAAAGAACAAAATACTGCAGGTCAGTTTACAATAGCTAAAACATGGAATCAACCTAAATGTCCATCAAGCAAAGTCTGGATAAAGAAATTATGGGATACATACAATATGGAATACTACACAGCCGTTAAAAATGAATACCGATCATTTGCAACAAAATGAACGAATCTGGAAAACATCATACTTAATGAAATACGCCAGTCCCAAAGGGACAAATACCATATGTTCTCTGTGATTTGTGTGAACAAATAGAGCATCTAAAATGAAATGTGTAGAAGTGAAATTGAAATCATCCCTTCAAGAAGGGATGATTTGAGCTGCCCTTGTGTTGACTGTTGAGGAACAGTCTTTTTTTTTTTTTTCCTTCATACTATTTGTTGAACTCCTTACTTAACAAAGTAATCATATGTGTGTAAAGTCAATTGAAAATACATCTCAGTAAAAAATAAGAGTAGAAATAAGAGAAGGAGGAGGAAGTTTGTAACTATAAAGCTGTATAGTTCTACATACATTCCTATGGACTTACTTCTAAGGGTACAGTAAAAACTTGTTATGGGACTCCAAATTCCATTAAACTTGGTGGTAAAAGTGCCATCTTAATTGTTAAAGTGATCATATTAAGTGTTAAAGTGAATGTATAGATAGGATTAAGTGCTAAAAGGATGAAATTAATAGGATCAAGTGTCTGGTAATTATAATAGATAGAATTAAAAAGGAGAGAATGTTCCAATGTGGGAAGCAGACCACAAAGCAGACTCATAAAATGACAACCACTTTAAGTAACACTCTGACCTGAGAATCAGTCCTTAAGACTTCCTCGTCTGGCTGAAAAGCCCACAAGAACATTTCAGGCATGGAAAGCCAAGACACCATGGCCAAAAATGTTCTACACAAAAGATCTCTGTGAGACCCCAGCAGAAAGAAGTGGTCATCAAAGAAGGAGATATTTTTCTCTGAAGGGAGGAGACAATTGCTTATGGCCGTGTCCAAATACTGACAGAGTTTGTGGACTCAAAAGGCTTCCATAGCCTAGGCAGCTCATGTTAAGAGCCTCAGGTGGTCACTGATATCATACATAAGAGTGTTAATTATTAAATTAATAACAGGAGTTACCGTGCACTAACTCCTCATGCAAGACCTCAGTGCTCAAACAGTTTTTATGTATGTGTGTTTTTGTGTGTGCAAATTGTTGAAATCTTTACTTAGTATAGAGTTGGTCTTTTGTCTACAAAGTTAATTGAACATGAATCTTAATGGAGAATGGGACTAGCAAGGAGAGAGGGAGGAGGAGGAGATGTGAGAGTGTGGGAAGGAGGGTGAGTATGGTGGGAAGAATAACTATATTCCTAAAGTTGTACTTTCAAAATTTATATTCCTTAAAAAATAAATTAAAAAAAAGCCAGGTACAACAGGTATAAGATACCACTAGCATCTACTCTAAAGGTCTGAAGCACAGATTTGAATGAACCAAAAACTTACTGTAGGTTAGAAATGGAGGAGAGATGGAAATAATGATTAATACTAAACATGCAGCATATTCTGATCATATAATGTCAGACTAAATACTATGGCAAAAAAAACCTTATAAGCATCCTGATGATGAATTAGAATAGACACATTTTCTTATAAATTAAGCATTTAAATGTGAAGCATATTTATGAAGGTACAAACAAAAAGATAACAGAGCCAAAACTAAAGTAGTAAGTTACAAAAAAAAAAAGGAAAGAAAAGAGTCAAAAATAGGCCCTATATTATGTGATAGGAAGCCAAGCCATCCTCTGCCCACCCAAAGTTGGAACCTTGAGGAAATTACACCCTCATAGAAAGGCTAAAATAGGAAAAATATCTGCCTCTTAGCAAAGACCACAAACAAGAAAAACTATTTACACTATGGGGGAAAAAAAAACCTATAATAGCCATTGTACTCTTCCCTGAGACTGTGTAACCATAGTCCTGTCTGCATAGGAGCCTGACATTCAAATTTACTCAGCATTCATGTGGAAACCTCAAGCCCAAAGTGAAATCAGGTTGGCAGCAAGTCCTGATACATGGAGAAGCAAAAGTATATCTCCTCTAGGGGAAGGTTTTTAAGTTTATTTTTTATTATTATTTTTTTACTTATTTAAGAACCAGAGAGCTAGTTCTTTCCCCAAATGAATGGGAACCAGGAGCCAAGAACATAATCCAGGTTTCCCAATTACTTGAGCCATTACCAGTTCCACTCGAGGTCTTCATTAGCAAGAACCAGGAGTTAAGAGCTGGAGCCAGGACTCAAGCCCAGGTACTCCAATATGAAGTGTAGGCATCTTAACCACTTTATATTAAAAAAAAAATGAAAGATAGAATATAGGCACATATTGAGTAACTAAAGAAAGAAGCAATTAGAGTTTTTCTTCCATGTGCAAGGAAAACACAACTGCAGAAGTTGATTTGTT